AAGTAAGCTCGTGCCTGCGATTTATAATTAACGTAACCACGTGACAGGCTCACAGAAAATGGCGGGAAAGCTTGACTTGGTCACGCACTGGAAAAATATTTGTACGTGGCTGGATTGCAACGCCCACTTGTGCTGAGTAGGCTCTCTGATCCACTTTTTGCATGAAATTGTAGAATAATTCAACATTGATAAGAAAGTGGAAGCGGGATGCTAAACTAGAAAGTCAAAATACAAAAAAGACGCCGCAACTTGTTATGGTTTAAGCAGCCTCCAAACTCCTAATTGCCCAAATGCAAAAACTAATATCGGTAGAATCTCTCAAACTAAGAGATACACATTTTAAAAAATCGACTACACTAAAGAAAATTTTTAGCAAAAATAACATCAAAGATTAGCGACAGCTGCGTTAGAAAGATTGAAATGTCCGTATTTCATCGGAACAATAAGCAGGGTGCGATGGATAAATTGTCGTCCAAACTACGCAAAAATGAAAATAATACTGACGTCTCATTTTAACAGATATATTTACCAAAATTACACAAAAATATCTTGAAATAGAAAATACAAGAGCATGCAAAAAAAAAAGGCTAAAAATAATGGAAGCCTTATTAATAAAACAAAAAAAAACAACACTCAATAATATCAACTATGAACATGGAAACAATATATTGACCGTGTTTTGAAAATGAAAACATTATATAAATACATACATACAACAATCTATTTCTTGTTAACAGTTAATATATTTCAACCTTGAAAATGGTTAAATGTATAGCCGAAAGCGCTCGGATCAAAGGAGAAATTGGACAGTTTTTATATAATTTATCATGCGAAAAGAAAAAAATTTCAGATCACATGAGAAATTGTATAAAAACTAAATCAAAGCACCTTGTCTGTCGTATTTAATGAAATGTGCATGAAAGAAGGATTGCTGCCTAACTTATATTTATATTATATTCTAAATATATATTTATATTATATTCTTACTCTGTCCTGTGCATTGCGTTCTACCTGGATTCTATCCTCTTTGGGAATTTATATATATCCTTTTGAAGGACGAAACGCATTACAGATTTTTTCCCATTTTGTTATTCAATTATCCATAATTACGACTTAGAACAGACACGATTTATTTCATCATTTATTTCTTCATTTCATAAACGTAAGATGAAATAAAAAGTAGTTGCAAAGTACAATTAGCCTGCCGATCATCGGACGGAACAAAGATCGAATTTAGGAAAATGGCGTCTATTGCATATTTACTTCCGGTGATTTCACTGAAGAGAAAAGCATTTTTTTAAATACATAATGCACGTATATTTATTGAGTGTATTTTATTGATTCATAATCGCGATATTAAAACAAGTAGTAGTTGCCGAAATGCCGATTAGAATCGCTTTTTTGTTCTTGCACGGCGCCAATAATTCGATCAATTATGCATTCTGATGATAATGCATTTGATATAATATATTAACTTTAATGGTTGTTAATCTGAGAGACTCCATTGAAATTTGGTCACATGACTTAAAATGGCGGCTGATTCAAGTCGCTGCTATTTTGAATTTCTTCATCCGAATAGTTTCATATGTACTTATAGAAACCCACACGCATAGATATACACATGTATGTATATAAACACACACACACTAACACGCGCGAACTCACACACGCACACACACATACACACACACACATATATATATATATATATATATATATATATATATGTGTGTGTGTGTGTGTGTGTGTGTGTGTGAAAAGAAAATATACTTTTAAGCTATGCTATATTTATGGGACAAATTGCTCAATATCAGAGATAAAGTGTATGTAATGTGGCTTGATGATTGCGTTTAGCATGAAACAGTCTTTCGCATCTGAGAATTTATTTCAATGTTCACTTTCATATATATATATATATATATATATATATATTGGTAAGTAGAAAATTTACATATATATATGAAAATTTACATTCATATATGATTGACCTGACGATTGCATATAGCATGAAACAGTCTGTTGCCTCTGAGTGTTGACTTCAATGTTCACTTTTATATTTACATAAGCTCTATCTCTAATATTGAACACTTTATCCCATAAATATAGCACATCTTAAGACTATATTTCTTTATATATATATATATATATATATATATATATATATATATATATATATATATAAAAAATTTTATACTTGCCAATTAATAGCGATTATTAAAATTATCAAGTGTTTCCATTTGATACTCCTGGACGATAGAGTTCCTTTTCACATTTTTCAAAAGGAATGTATCAGCGTGTCTACAGTTTGAAATAATTTCATTTATTTTGTTTATTAATCCATTCATGTTTTCTTGATATGCATAAGAAAAGGAATATACAAGTCATAGCTAGCTAACTAGATAGATAGATAGATAGATAGATAGATAGATAGATAGATAGATGTTTAAATATAAACTAAATATAACATATTAGTAACTGTATATGCCTGCGATAGCGTTCATAAGCAGATAAGCAACGAAATATTATATTATTTATTTATTTATAACAGTGCTCAATGAATTTAAACAGAGCTATGAAGTATATACTAATAAATACATATATACCTTAGTTTGTTGTGCAACGTAAAGGTGCATAAAGTCGTCAAGTACAAATAGCAAATGAGCCACTTATTACATCTCATCGGAGGAACGATAAATTATACGCAGATTCAGAGCTCAAAATTAATATAAACCCAATCTATTATTGGGTTGTGAATTCAAAGTATAAATATACGCTCCGAGAAAGCTGTAACACGAGTAACAAGTGGAAAAATCAGGCATGGCTGACCATATATAAAGGGAGATCACCGCCCTCTGTGGGATCAGGTTGAGATTATAGCAAAGAACACCATTGGAAATTTCTTAAATTTAAGGAATCAGAACATATGGTAGGCCACAAAAATCTGAGCCGACCAAGCATAGAAATGAATACAATATGGGAACCAGTACTAAGGAGTGACAGAGAAAAGCAATAAGAACAAAAATTGCAATATGAGCTCTGGTAAAAAACATGCAATTATAACAGCAAAAATATGAGCACATTTTAAAAATTTACTACCGACGTGTAGTTATTTGCTTTATTTTTCCAGTAAAATTTCGAGAGTGCCGTAGCATTTGAACATTATAGCTTGGCGTACACCAAAGATAGTGCGTAACATAAAAGAGCAGTGTATAGATATAATAAGTGTGAATATAAATAACGAGATATTATCAACTGTATATACCTGAGATAGCGTGAATACGTAGATAAGCCAATAAATATTTATTTAATTTAATTTACGGTGCAAACAAAACAGCCCTCAATATAATTAAACAGCGCTATGATGTATATACTAATAAATACACATAAACCTACGTTTGTTGTGCAACTTAAAGTTTCATGATTTCCCAAGTCGTCAGGCACAAATGGCGAATGAACAACTTATTACAGTTGTCTTTTTAAATACTTGGTCTTATGGGAGGAACGCTAAATTATATGAAGATTCGATGCTTAAAGTTAATATAAATCTAATATATTATTGGAGTGCAAATTCAAAATATAGATGGTATAGAGGGAGATATTGGGAAAAAAAACAAAGAAAAAAATGATTCAAGCTTAAAGTTCATATGGCACATGTTTTTCCGTTAGAAAAAAACGATGTAAGTTAAAAAAATATATAAAGCGTAAAAAGCAAGCAATATAATTAAAAAGGTTGCAGGGGTTGGCGCGATGAATTGTATTTTTATTTATAAATAATTTCTGCGTTTCAAGGAAGCAACACTGCACATTATATAAAATTAATATTTAATAATATTAGGATATAAACTAAAAAAAATAAGGACAAAGACGGTAAAAGGTGAGAAAAATAAAATGTAAAAAGATTTAAAAAAAAAAAAATTAAGAAAAGATGAATGCCGTGTAACCCTATAGACGCTTAAATGGTTAAAGAGGGAGGTAATCAGTATTTAACCTAAAATATATAATTGGCAGGTGAAGTTGAGTAAAAGGACTTATCGAAATTCAAAATACTTTAAGAGCTTTTTCTATGGATACAAGCTATCATGAGATCATTATTCAGCTGGTTTGGGTCATTGATAATTTTAAAAATGAATCTTTTTTTCCAGCAAAACACAGGCTGCATCTGGAAAGTGTGTAGTTTTAGCGATTAAATTCCACTTTAATATCGGTGTGTAGTTATTTGTCTTAATATCCCAGTAAAATTTGAAAGTGAGTGTAACGAATTCAGCCAGAATCCGAACTTGGCTCACCGATTTTACTTTCAGAGTCTTTGCGTCACCTGCACATCCATGAGACGAAAATAGCGGTTGGATATTTGTAAATATTGAAAACGCGTAAGAATCCCATAAAAAAACAAAAGAACAAATTGTTTTTTACGTATTTCATTGAAAAATGTTTTTTTCAGCTAGTTGTTTTTAAAAATGTCACTGGTTTATTATTAGAACAAGCCAAACCTTGATGCCGTGACACGAGGCGTATCAAGTTGGTATTAAATAGACTGAATGGAAAGGTTATCTGTTCATCCACCTCATGTATCATCTTAACTGATTGCTAGTTGGAGAATATCTCAAAATAAAATCACTGGCTAAGAAGACCTTTTTCCAGTATCGTTTTCATTTTTTAATTGTATATTTTGTATCGTTAATGACAAAAGTTTTTATATTTAACGGCGAGAAAGAAAGTGTAAATGAAGTGGGTAGTGGGTTAAGAATGAAAACTTTGAATTCATTCCAAACTTCTGATGATGTATATCCGGGGTTTTTTTTTGGGGGGGGGTTGATGTTTTTTTTATCGTTCTTTTTATTTATTTATTTTTTTTGTTTTGTATTGTTGGCAGAAAATTATTTTTTTAACTTAATTATTTCCAAGTTTTATTCTATTATTTTCGCTTCTTTTTTAACTTGCTTTATATTTGTCTTAGCTAACCTTTTTCCTACTTTTCGTCTGGAGGCGATTTTGGGCAAATGCCCGCCATTTTTTTTAACATTTCTTCTCGTCAAATAAGGCCAATGGCGTTTTCATTTGCCAACCCAAATATCACTTGAAATTTCGTGTCTCTTGTTTCCCACTTCATTTTTCACTGTCTTTTTCTTTTATTCAGCCCGTTTTCTTTTTTCTTCCTTCATTTTTTTTTCTTTTTTCTCTATTCTTTGTTTCGTTTCTTTATGCATTTAAATGTTCTCTTTTTTTTTCTCCTTGTCTTCCTTTTTCAAATCTTTTCACGATATCCTTATTTTCACTTTCCCCACTTTTCTTCCTTTTTGAATTTATCTTATAATTTTCCCTTTTCTCGTTTTCTTTGTTTTTCTTTCAAACTTCCTTTTCACTTTCTTTTTTTTTCTTTCCTTTACTCTCCATCTTTCTCAATTACTTCCTTTCTTTCTCCTTTCTCCTTCGTTCTGGTCTTTCATTTTAACACTTGGATATTTCCTTTTTATATTTCTTTACCATTTTCTCTATTCGTATTTATTGAGCTTGTGTTAGCATAACAGAAAATGACAATAGCTGGGAACCAGAGAAAATGGAACTCCGAACACAAGATAATTTGTCTAGGAGACACACTTGTTAAATCTAGTTCCACTGTTACCATCCTATTACAAACTTATCGCTTAGACTGACTCTAGTTCAGAACTCATGGGGACGCAACTAAATTAACAGACTCATGTATGATATTTGCTTGCGAACAATTGTTCAAAGTTATTCGATCTTCCTTTTTCCTTCTCTTAGTTGCATCTCCTTTTAGCTTTTTTTTTTGTTATTTAGCTATTTTATTTTTGCCATTTTTCTTTTCTTGTTTTCTTCACCGTATCTTTTCTGTCTTATTTTTATTTCTCTCTATCCAGTCTCTTTTTATTTCTTCTCATTTTGTTTTCCTTTCCATTTCATATTCCTCCCCCTCCATTTCTTACTAATTCTTCTTTTCTTTCTTTCTCACTTTCATTTGCTTTTCCTTCTCGCCTTCGTCTGTACACAGTTTTCCTGAATTTTCTGACCTATTTTGTTCTCTTTCATTTCTTTCGTCAACACACTTCCTTCCATTCTTTCTTTCTTTTAATTTTCTTCTTTTCTTTTGTTCTTTCGTCGCCATTTTTGTATTCCTTTTTTGTTTATGATATCTCCCGATTTACTTATCTATTTTCTTTTTATCAAAATCTCTGGGAAAGGATGCTACGAATTAATATAATTAATCCCAATTTTCTTGAGGGCTTTGGCAGCAATTGGTGCCAACTGTCGATAGACATAAGCACTTGGAATATTGGCACGTTCCAAGAATCCTTCCTATCGACAAACCAATGGGCCTTGTCTGATAACATATTGTCTTTTGAAAAAATGACAAAACTACTTTTTCTGTTTTATTTTTTCTTTTATATTTTCCTTTTTTTGCTTTTATTTTAGTTTTTCTCTTTACTTCTCTCTTTCCCTTAATATATATATACATATATATATATATATATATATATATATATATATATATATGTGTGTGTGTGTGTGTGTGTGTGTGTGTGTGTGTGTGTGTGTGTGTGTGCGCGTGCGTGTGTGTGTGTGTGTGAATAAAAAGAAACAAAAGGAAAAACTATTCTTAGCCAACGCATTTCATACTTTGACGGAATTTATCAAAGTATTGTCCTTGATGAATTCCCTTAGAGGACGAAACGCGTTGGTTAAAAATAGTTTTTTTTTCAATTTGTCTCCTTAAGACACACACACAAATACACACATATACACACAAATACACATACAAATACACACACACACATATATATATATATGTATGTATATATATATATATATATATATATATATATGTAGTATGACAATAAAAACAAAATTACCTCATATGGGGAAGAGACCTATTTCAACCGACGAAAACTTCATCAGTCTTATTCAACCCCGGTATATAGACTGAGTTCGTGTCGAAATTAAAAATTAAAATACGATTTATTGGCTCTGTAAAATAAACACATTGACCTCTTTTTGTGGATCAGTTTTAATATTTTATATTGATAGAATCCACTTAGATGATATTTCAAACGGATTTATATATGTAGTGTCATCCTCATACAAGCATGTTTCGCTGTATCATAGCTCATCAGTGCAGTTGACATCCAACTGTTTTAAGCCGCGACCAAAACCCGACTCATTTGGCATCAGTCGGAGTTTTTACTCCTGAGCTATCAGCGCACGACAGATGGAAATATAGATATATATTCAAATATATATTCTTAAATATAACTGACATTTAATGAAAATTCATTAAATTAAGTCTGCCACGGATATAGAACAAGCAATGTAACGAGGATTTTTTAATCGCTGTTGCATGATGATTCTTTCTCTTCTAATGTCATTCTCAACTTTTTCTACATTTCGTTTTGCTTTTGTTCTTGAAATTTTTTAAACGAAAGACACTTCTTAACTCTCCGTGCGTTGTTGTAATCATCATAGCTGAATGTTGGCTGTCTTCCCATAAAACTGACACCCTTTTCATAGCTTTTTCAATTTTAGTCCAGGTTTCATCACAATCATGCATCTTGTCGCTATCTTTTTGCAGATGTGTCTCGTTGTCATCTTTTCCTCTTGTTCCCATCATCTTTTGCGCCATTACAAGCCATTAGAGTGAAATACGCAATTATCCAAAGTAAATTTTCTTGAAAAACGAAAATTTCTAGTCAGTTATATATCACCCGAATAGTTCAAATATACACATCATGTCCGGATATACAGAATTCCGGATATGAGAGATTCCGGATATGAGGGATTCCGGATATGAGGTATTCTACTGTATTATGAACCGATTCACCATCGCTTTGTAGTCGACTATTCCGGAATATCTCATTACTAATAAAGTGACATAAGTGCTGCCAGACTAAAAAAATAGCAAGTGGTGCTGAAAAAATATCAAAACAAGTTTCTCCTGATTTTTGGAATTGATTCGGACGTAAAATTATTCAGCAGCCCGTCGTATATAAAGTTAAAGTTGTTTAATATTATCAAATTAACTAACACTGTCAAAAGTGATCTGTTGTCTGAGCTAAAAGCAAGATGGTCTCCATCAAGTCTACTTTGTCCAAGACCAATGAATACCTTCTGATATACACGGAGAGAGAATTGGTTAAACGCTCAACTGCGACTCGAGCCTAAGACCAGACCTGGCCATGAGAACGATGATGATAATGATGATGATTGCTACTAGCTTTATAATACAAATGCTTTGATAATCAGGTAGAAACGGATTATTGATTTGATAATCAGGTAGAAACGGATTATTGATTTGATAATCAGGGAGAAATGGATTATTAATTTGATAATCAGGGAGAAACGGATTATTGATGTGATAATCAAGGAGAAATGGATTATTGTTACTGACAAAGTAAAAGTTGACTCATTTTTTTATTTTATCCCTGATGGGGCTTCAAGTTTGGTTTATTTAATTACGTTTGAATTCTTTAGAGCTATTTCAGGAGGAACCTACGGGGGTTTCAGTCTGGTGTTTTTTACACTGTAATTCATTCTGATTTTAGTTTTGATTTGCCTCTGTCTTATGCTAAATAGAAAGTGAAATCTTTTGGGACTGTCCCTAGTGGCACTAACTTTAGATACCAAATTTCAGATAAATATTTTTGAAGTTTTACTTTCAAAGCTTTCCTCAAAGTAATTTCTCTTTTAATATCATTCACGTAGATTATAGTGCATTTCTCTCTTTAAGAAACTCTGGCTTCTTCGTTTTCCCTACTGAAGTTTGGAAATAAACCTAATACTCGGTAAAGTATCAGTATGACAGTCATTTTTTTTGTTTCTATTTTACATTCCTTCTTTCGTTTTTATCTTTATGGTCTCATTTTTAGGGTACTGACAGGTCCTTTTTACAATGCTTAAATAGAAAATTCAAAATGTAATATAGTAACAACTCAAAAGCATTATTTGATTCATTCTGTTTTAGTGCAGAAAAACGTTTCTTTTATTGTGATGGATGGTTGAAAACGTGAGGGGTGATGGAATGTGTTTATTTTATCACCATACAAGACATAGATTGATTGTTCTCTCATCTCCAATTTTAAGGTTTCTTTTTCCGATGCGATGGTAGTTACGTCATACATACAAACATTAAAACCCTATAAAATGTACTTTCATTATGGCCAGCGTTTCCTACTCTTATTTTTAAAAATGATTCTAAACATAGAATAATATTATTCTAATTAATTTTATGATAATTCTTCCTTTATTTTACATTTGTAAGTATTGTTAGGTCGTAATCGCCGAATGTTAGTGTCAAATTGTCGTATGTTTGTAGTGAGTAATCAATTCGCACCTGAAATTGACCTATGAAACAGCAATTTTTTAAAGATTTTTTGTAGCTGTGCATAATACGCACTCCTAATTTTACTTATTATTTTTTTTTAGAAAATAATGCTTATTATGCATGGGCAATTACGGTTATTCATATTTGTAAAACGGCAAGCTGTCATCGACTCTATATTCTTTCATTTGCAACTTGAATTTTCTTTTCACTTTATTTTCGTAAGGGTCAATGCCACTTCCACGGAGTCGAAACCTTTATTTAAATACAGATGCTTCCATTTATCAAGATAATAACAATTTACCCTACACATTTTGCTAACTTCATCGGCTCTTGTGTTGTCATTTATGGACAATAACACACTCCAGCATATCCTAAGACAGTGACACCTACTGATTGGCTGCATGTGATCACGTGGTCTCTTCATTTGGCGTCCCAAATGCTGCCCAAGTGTCTTTGCATCATTTTATTAGAAAACTATTAGTCCCGGATATTTAATCAGCTTGGAACGTGAAAATGGCAACATTTCGTCAAGGTTTTGACCTACTTGTACATTAATTTATCGTCGAGCGCTCCACTGATCTGACTCAGATCTCGTCACTAATATTGTCATTATCTACTGAATAAACACTTCTGTGACAATGAATTATTTTGTATGAGTTACCTATTATTATTATTATTATTATTATTATTATTATTATTATTATTTCCTTTCATTTCTGATTTATACTCATTTCTTTCCGGGTCCCAATCAGAGAACTAGGGTCAGAAATGGAATCATGACATTTTTCACTGAGCAATTTTGAAAAAACATTCACGCATATTTTACATAGATAATGCCCTTCGTATGGTGTGGGCTGTACTTGTGAGAACAACTTTTTGAATTTCTTTTAGACATGAGCAACCGGGAATCCCTTCAATGAGTCTATTCGATCAATTTCCAATCAATCCGAGGGCTCCAATTACAAATGAAATGAGCCACATTTTTGAGATTTCGAATTCAACGTCTTTGTATTTTGATAGTTTTTTGAAGATCTTCAGATACACTGCAATCTGCAGGGACTGCCATATCAATAAGAAAGCGTATTTTGACTTTGCGATCTCTAATAACGATGTCTGGGCAATTAACTTCGTTTGTTCTGTCTATGTGCATTGTAAAGTCCCATAAAATTGTTACATTTCCTATCTCCGTATCCGGGTCTGGGTGGTGTTCATACCAATTTCTTGCAGTTTCCTTTCCGTAAAAGTTGCATATTTTCCAGTGCAGATATTGGCCCATTCTGTAAAGCCGAGTTTTATATTCACTTGGTACCAATTCCGTTCAAATTGATAAAAGACGATCATTTGTTTCTGGATATTTATCACAGAATCTGCATTTTGAACTAACACAATATTTCATTATGTGTGCTTGTAATTTAGTAAGAATTGAACACGTGCAGCAAGAATAAAATCATCGGTTTCAGCTTTTAACCCTGCACTACGTAGCCATTCATATATGTACGGGGTTTGTCTACATCAGCTTGTTTGGTACAAGCAGAATATTGACTGGTTTATCTTGACATCGTTTCTCTATCTCGTCACTTCCATTTGTCTTTGCTATATTGCAGCTGCAGTCGGTGTATTCTGCTTTACTTGTATTTCTTCATCCATTTCAAACTTCATTTTGAACTTGTTGGCTTCCTTTATTACTGAATAAAGTCGCTTAATACTTTCATGTTTCCAGTCTTCTGTAGTTTCCAGGTGTCTTTGAGGGCCAATTGTTGTTGTTTCGTAAGACAGTTCTAGTTGAACTGATCCTCTGATTCAATCGTACCTGGCACATGCAATCAATACTAGCCTTGGGATGATGCATGCAATTGCAAGTGAGAAGATTTTTCGTCTTGGCGTCCATTCGCTTAATATCAGCTATGGTCCAGTTAAGGATGTTAAAACTGTATTGCATCACAGGAACAGTCAATGTGTTTATGGCTGATATTCTGTTTTTTGAATTCAATTCGGTATTCAAAACCAGATGTACAGTTTTGCTTTCTTACTTTCTCCTTCATTTTGTATTCCATCTCCTTCATTGATTCCTAGGTGTACATAGGCCTATTCTTGTTCCAGTTTCCTGATCTTTGTGACAAAATCTAGATCTATTAAATGTGTTTCTGTAATTTCCCTTTTCTTGAATGTTACTTTTGTACATTTATCTAATCCGAAATCCATACCTATGTCGTCACTGAAACATTTTACACTATTGCGCAGACCCTTCAACTCACTGTCGTCTTTACCAAGAGTTTGGGACCATCAATGGTGATTGAATACTACTATTATTATTATTATTTTTATTTTCTTTGATTTCTGGCGTTTACACATTTCTTTCCGGGTCCCGCCCATGGACCTAAGGTTAGAAATGGCGTCATGACACTTTCCACTGACAAAAAAAAAAAAAATTACATAGATAGAGCCCTTCGTAAAGTGTGGGCTGTACTTGTCAGAACAATTTTCTGTATCTCCTTGAGGCATGGACTTCCAGGTATCCCTTCAATTAGTCTACTGGAATCTTTTCCAACCAGTCCTAGGGCTCCAACTACAACAGGGATTGTTGATGTTCCCCATATGCCACATTTTCGCGATTTCTATTTCAAGGTCCTTGTACTTTGACAACTTTTGAATATCTTCAACGATACATTGCAGTCGGCAGGGACTGCCATATCAATAAGGAGGCACCGTTTTTTGTTTATGGTCTTTAATAACAATATCTGGGCGGTTGGCCTTGATTGTTCTGTCAGTGTGTATTGTGTAGTCCCATAGAATTGTAACAGGTCCTATCTCCGTAACCGGGTCTGGGTGGTGTTCATACCATTTTCTTTCAGTTTTCTTCCCGTAGAAGTTGCAGATGTCCCAGTGCAGATATTGGCCCACTCTGTCATGTCAGGTTTTATATTCAGTGGGTGCCAACACCGTACAACCTGCTACAAGATGATCAATCGTTTCTGGATATTTATCACAGAATCTGCATTTTGGACTGACAATATTTTAGTATATGTGCTTGATAATTCCTAGTTAGCAAGCATTGGTCCTGCGCAGCAAGGATAAAAGCTTCAGTTTCCGTTTTCAACCCTGCACTACGTAGCCACTGATGGGTACGGGTTTTGTCTACGTCAGCTTGTTTGGTACGGGCAGAGTATTGGCCATGAAGCGGTTTATCTTGCCATCGCTTCTGTAACTGGTCTGTTGCATTCGTCTTAGCTATCTTTTTTTAGGTATTTTGCAGTTTCAGCCGGTGTATTGTGCTGTAGTTGCATCTCTACGCCCATTTGGAACTCCATTTTGAATTTGTTGGCTTCCTTCATTACGGAGTAGAGACGCTTACTACTTTCATGTTCCTTGACGCACACCATCATCCAGTCTTCTGTAGTTTCCAAATATCTTTGGAGGCCAATTGTTGTAGTTTTGTAGGACAGTTCTAGTTGAACTAATCCTCTGCCTCCTTCGGATCTGGGCACATACAGACGGTCGACATCAGCTTTGGGATGATGCATGCGATAGCAAGTGAGTAGCTTTCTCGTTTTGGCATCCAGTCGCTTAATTTCAGCTATGGTCCAGTTAAGGACATTAAAGCTGTATTGCACCACAGGGACAGCCAATGTGTTTATGGCTGATATCCTGTTTTTGAGTTCAGCTCAGTATTTAGTACCAGACGTACACGCCTGTAGTATTCTTTTCTTATTTTTTCCTTCATTTGGGGGTGTTGTATGCCATCTCCTTCGCTAATTCCTAGGTACTTATAAGCTTCACCATGCTCCAGTTCCCTAATCTTTGTGACAAAATCTAAATCTATTAAGGGTGTTTCTGTAATTCTACCTTTCTTGAAAGTTACTTTTTGCACATTTATCTAATCCGAAGTCCATACCTATGTCGTCACTGAAGTATTTTACAATATTGAGGAGGCCTTTCAACTCATTGTCGTCTTTGGCAAAGAGTTTGAGATCATCCATGTAGAGTAGGTGATTGAATATTTTCTTATTTATTTTGTAACCATAGCTACTGTTGTTCAGTTCATGTGTAAGAGGGATTAAGGATAAACAAAACAGGGGTGACAGAGAGTCTCCTTGAAAGATTCCACGTCGGATATTCAGACGGTTGGATATGGCAGTGCCCCCGGTGTGACTAAGGTAGAGTTTGGTGTTCCACATTCCCATGCTGTGCTTTAGGAAATTTAATACCACAGGGGAGACTTTGTACATTTCCAAAGTCTTAAGGATCCAAGAATGTGGAACACTATCAAAGGCTTTTATTATTATTATTATTATTATTATTTCCTTTGATTTCTGGTGTGTACTCATTTTTTCCGGGTCCCGCCCAGAGACCTGAGGTTAGAAACAGCATCATAACATTTTCCACTGACAAAATAAATAAAAAAAAACACATAGATAAAGCCCTTTGTAAGGTGTCGGCTGTACTCGTGAAAAAATTTTTTGTATTTCTTTTTTTTTATTCCTTTTTTCTTTCTTTTGGCTTTTATATATTTCTTTCGTCTTTACGATTCTCATAGGCATTTATATTTCATTTATTTTATTTGGTTTTTATAATTTTCTTCTTGGCTTAGATTTATTCCCTTCTCTTTCTTTCATTTTTTCTTTTTTCATTTTTGTCTGAACTTTCTTTCTTATAGCCTTTTTTCTTTCCTTTAAGCTTTAAAAGATTTCAACCGAGTTTTAAGATTTTCTTTCTTACGTTATCTTAATTTTTACATATTTTTCTTTTTCTTTCTTTTTGTTTTTCTATTTTCTTTTCCCTCCCCATTTTATTTCTTTCGTCATTTCATCTTTATTTTTTCTTTCTTTAATTATTTTCTTTTTTTTACCATTCTAATAATATTTCTCTTCTTTCTTTTTGGCTTTTTCCTTTCTCATTCTATCATCTTTCCTTCATTCTTTTTACTTTTCTATCTTTCTTTTCCCTTTTCATCATTTCATTTTTCTTTCTTTTCTCTTTCCTTTCTTTCTTTATTTCTTTCTTTCTTTCTTCCATCATCTATTTTTCTGTTTCTCTTTCTCGTAACATTCTCTCTCTCTCTCTCTCTTTCTTCCTTTCGTTCATTCGTTATTCCTACCCTATCAACTCCTTCCCATTCTTGCTTCTATATTTCAGTCTAAACTCCTCCCTTATCTGTCCAATATTTCCTTACCATTCATTAAGTCAAATCTGTCAGTGCCCATCTCTATATGCAAATAACAAAGCCTGAAAATTCACCTTGATGTTTACACGAGAAGCATATGCGTCCTATCATGAGATGAGAGAATCTGATTCACTAATTAAACGATGGTCGCAGGCCCAACTCCACATTGCCAACTAATCAGAGCATTACACCAAGCGAGATCCTTACAATCAGACAATTTGCGGGCAACCATCGTCACATAAAAGAACGCTTACTGAAGGCGTTAATTACCAAATTTTGGTCATCTCGACGAGATATTTCAGTGCCTTTTATTATATCTGGTTTGTATAATGTGGTCGGCTTGTATGTTAATAATCCCCGGCCACATTTTTATTATCTAAGCACAGGTGGTGTTTGCATTCACATCATTTTTCTATAAGGGAAATTTATAATGTTGTCATGTCTATATTTAAATTTCTTTAGGCTAGAGCAGGCCATTCAAATATTATTATCCTATTCTATGGAAAGAGGGGGAAAGACGCTATTTGCTTTCAATGAGAAAATGAAACAAGGAAAAACGGGAAGATAGAAGTTTTTAACGGCGGTTTCAGAGAAAATCTTTTCATTTGTATCCCCTTACTTCTTAAAATAACGACCAGCATTAATATTTATGATTGTTATTGCAATATTTTGTTAAAGTTGTTAAGCTAAATTATTTAGCTTTGCGTTAGCGGAATTTCTTTGGATATTTTATAGTCGAAATCGCAATGATCTTACTGTAATATTAGTTATTATTATTATTATTATTATTATTATTATTATTATTTTATTTCCTTTAATTTCTGATGTGTAATCATTCATTTCCGGGTCCCGCCCAGGGACCTTGGAAAAAAAAATTTACATGGACAATGCCCTTCGCAAGGTGTGGGCTGTACTCGTGAGAACATTTTTTTTTGTATTTCTTTAAGAAATCGACTTCCAGAAATCCCTTCATTTAGTCTACTGGAATCTTTTCCAACCAATATTTGAAGACATTTTTTTATGTTTATACGTTCTTTTTATAGATACAAGTATTTAAGTAAATGCTCTGTTATTTGTAAACAGTATTAACAACATTTACCGGCCTGAATTTGTATCTATATAAAGAAGGTATAAACATAAAAAATATCTTAAAATAATTGTCGGACTTTGTCCATTTCATAATGTGTGACGTCAATTGTTTACATTTCGATACGCATTGAGCAGATATGAATGTATGAGAGAAAATCATGAAGAATTATAGTTTAAAAACAGTAAAATCGAACTTGCTAATCGGAAGGTTCTCGGCAAAAGCACATCAGGCTATATGACGGTTCCGTATAGGATACAGGTTCGATTCCTGTCGGATGATGCATATTTCCTATGAAAATTTCTCGGACATTCGGGAAGGTAAATGTTGTTTATTATAAACAGAGCATGCATATATATATATATATATATATATATATATATATATATATATATTCGAATGTAATGAGAACGAAAATAATATATAAATTCTAATGTTACAACATTCATTCAAAAGAGGGCTCAATACCGAAAGTAGAGCAATAATTATTTATTATAATTTTTTTCATATAGACAAAAACAATTTACTCACGACAAAGATGCAACTTCGCTTCGGTGCAACTGACTGTAGATATCTATCTGTTTATATCTATCTATTAATTTTCCAAGCATAGCTTAGATGTGGCACAAAGCCGTAAGTAGGGTGCACCCAGTAAGAATCGAACTCACTACTTAGTTGTAATTGTTCTAGCGAGACAAGCTTGCTAACCATTAGACCAACTCGATGTACCCCCGCCTGTAGATATCTACCTGAGGCTGTACATATCTATCTATGTCTATCTATCTAGCTTGGCTTATTCTCAGCTTTCAAGATCTATTCATATATTTCTGTTTGTCTAACTATTCATTTACCTACCTCAGTCAGTGCATATCTATCTATCTATCTATCTATCTATGTAAATCTTTTCACATCTATCTATCTATCTATCTAAATCTGTTCACATCTATCTATCAATCTATCTATCTATCTCTAAATCTGTTTATATCTATCTATGTATCTATCTGAATCTGTTCATCTATCTATCTATCTATCTATCTATCTATCTATCTATCTATCTATCTATCTATCTATCTAAATCTTTACACATCCATGCATCTAAAACTGTTCAAATCTATCTATGTATCTATCTATCTATCTATCTATCTATCTAAATCTGTTCAAATCAGTCTATCTATCTAAATCTGTTCACATCTATCTATCTCTAAATCTGTTTACATCTATCTATCTATCTATCTATCGAAATTTGTTCACATCTAGCTAGCTATCTATTTAGTAATTCTCCTCACTATATTCACACAATCAACATATTCAACATATTATGTTGCGACATTACGTTGTCTTCGTTTCCTCCTTTTCGAAAATTATCAAATCATTCATATTTGCTTGGTCATCAAATATCGTTCCTTTAAATAGATAGATAAATAATGAGCAGAATGAGATAGATAGATAGACAGACAGACACACACATATATATATATAGCACACCCTAACGCTATAAATAAGTATAGCCCCTAAAACAATATATATATATATATATATATATATATATATATATATATATATATATATATATCACTGCAGAAATTCTTATGTAAAGAGTCCCTTAACATATACAGAGTTTATATTTTCTTTACTGATAATAATATCTTGAGTAGATGAGAAGTTCCCCAATGTTGATATTATTATTATTGTGTGTGGTGTCATCTTGCCAGAGAATCGTTTTAAGTGCCTAATTACCAAGTTCTCTCCGGGGTCTGTTAGTAAAAAAGGCGACTGTAGGAGAGTTATTTATGCACATTTGGGACGTTTCATTTTGATCGGAGGGCATTTTGCGCATGATATGTGCAGTTCTGCACAAAGGAGTTTTTTTACAGCTCTGAGATGCTGTTGTGTCCAGGAATTTTACTCACATGATTTTCGGATTCCATCTTTATCAAATCCAAAACCCTTATCAAAAATAGGAGTAATCGTAGTTTTTATGTTTCTACATTTTTGTTACTTCGATTGACAGGTCCTTATAATTTGACAGTTTTTGAAAATCTTTTTTTAAAAACATTAAAATCCTGTGGACAAGTCATATCAATTAGTTATCAGGTTCCTTTTTTGAAATCTTTTATTGCTATTGTTATTGCTGTTGCTTAATAGCCAGTTATTATTATTCAAATGTAGTTCCAGGAATCGTAACTTGAACATATTTTTATGAAAACGAAATTTTAAAAAGAATATTATTAGCCAGTGAGTCTAAAGAAACAGTGAAAGCAATTTGTCATATTCGTGGCAGTTTAAAAAATCAAACAAAGTGAAATAACGAAGGAATATCTGAAAAGCATCCACATTGTCTTCGAGAATCGTTACATTCCAAGACAAATTGTTTCCCACACGGAAAAAGAAAAACGGCGACTGAACCCAAAGCGACACTATTTCCACCTTATTTTCCAAATGACACCTAATCAAATTAAAACTGTCAATAAATATCTATATGATAATTTTTTCAGAAAATCTAACGTTAGAATTAAAACAGCAAGTATGAAAAAATGTTGAAAGCTATCTATCTATCTATCTATCTAGCTAGCTAGCTAGCTAGATAGATAGATAGATAGAGCGTATGTAATTATATAAATATAAAATGAGCACTGACGTCAACACTCAGAGGCAAGAGGCTGTTTCATGCTAGACGCAATAATATGTATGTATATATCTATTTATATTCATGCATGTTAGGTTGAATAATCTGGATATATTATACATACATATATATATATATATATATATATATATATATATATATATATATATATATATATATATATATTCATACATATATATGCATATGTATCTATATATATATATGTACATACATATATATATAAAAAATATATATATACATATATATATATGTACATACGTATATATATATATATATATATACATATATATATATATATGTATATATATATATATATATATATATATATATATATATATATATATATATATATATAATTTATTTAAATATGGCATAAATATGTGATAAAATCACTACAAAATAGCCATTTTGTTTCAACAACTCTGGTGTCTTATCATATGCTTGGATATTAGCTCCTATTACTGTCGATATACTTGGATATATATATATATATATATATATATATATATATATATATGTATGTATTTTTTTATATTTTAGGTTGAATAATCTGGACATATACATACATACATATATACATACATATATGTGTGTGTGTGTGTGTTAATTACTTTATTTATATTCAAGTATGTTAGGTTGAATAATCTGGACATATGTCTATTTTTATTTTAGTCCTCTCGAATTCTCTAATTGACTTCTTAATGTTGATATTAAAATCATTGAGGAAGTTGTCGTAGTATTCTTTTCTTTCCATATCAACATATATTAATCATATATCAAGTAGAGAATTCGAGAGGATTAAAATAAAATAGACATCATATGATTCAGATTATTCAACCAAACATATCTTGAATAAAGATTGAAGATACGCTGCCTAAATACACACATATATATAGGCTAATTCGTGTGTATGTATGCATATATATATATATATATATATATATATATATATATATATATATATATATATATATATATATATATATATATATATAAGGGGGGGTTATTACTAATACATTTTAGAAATTTTCATCTATGTAGAAGCAGCGTCCAACCACGAATGGGAATTCAATTTTTTTCATTCTTCCTTTTTTCTTGTTGGTTATCGCTTGCGTAATGATACATAGCGTTTTGCTGGTAAGTATGTATCCAATTTATTTTATATGACGCCTTCGCAATTTTGCTAGTAAAAGATGAATGGCCATCATTTTTATCAATCCTTCAGCTTTTACCAAATTTGTGATGACTTTTCCGAAAAATAAAAACATTCCGATCGTATCTCTTTATTCAGAACGATTTTTCCCGCTTCGCTGTCTTTTTGCAGTCTCCATCTGCCATATTTTTTTTGTAGTCGTTCTCAAACATAGCCATCAGAATAAAATACATTCTTTCTATTTTCTGACAGGATTTTTTTCATCTGAAATCTGAATTCTAATTGCTGTTATCAACTTAGAAAATGGAATCAACATTTTTTTCAACTTTAACTGTTCCCTTAAAGACTACCCGTAAAAGACATAAATTTAATTCTCTAATCTGTTCCCGACCAACTTGGCTGCTATTTCATCATTGCTACCACTCAAAGAAGATGAATTCTCAATAAATCTATGATTACATAGTAAAAACAAATATAGTTAATATATCCATCATCCACTTCCTCTGAAATTAACTTTTCTAGTTTTGATTTCAATTATTCACTCATTTCTCCCTTAATCTTATTCAAATTATACCCGGAAAAATAAGTTTCTGTCTATATCTCTGAGATGAGGTATTATCATTACTTGCATTCTTTACATGATTCAGACTGTTATCCTCATCTTCATTGCCATATTCACAAGGACACATGGCCCAGTGGATAAAGACGTTGGTTAGATCCAGTGACAAGCTTCTAGTGATATGATAGTTGTCTATATCTCTGAGATGAGGTATTATGATTACTTACCTTATTTACATTATTCGGACTGTTATCCTCATCTTCATTGCCATATTCACAAGGACACATGGCCCAGTGGATAAAGACGTTAGTTAGATCCAGTGACAAACTTCTAGTGATATAATGGCTGTCTATATCTCTGAGATGAGGTATTATGATTAATTGCATTATTTCTATTATTCGAACTGTTATCCTCATCTTTATTGTCATATTCACAACGTTTCAGCCTCTATATCTCTGAGATGAGGTATTATGATTACTTGTCATCTATAACAGCCCTTTATGATTCTGTATCGCCAGTCTACAAGGCTTGAAAAAGGATGATCCTCTCTTCAATCGCTCGAAGCCTTTTTAATAATTGAGTGATTCTATACAATTGTCGTTTCTGAACATGATAGTCATATGAAAGTCACGATCTGATCAAAGTATTTAAGAACATAAATCCAGTTCTTAAGTAAATATATCAAACATCTAACACATTCCTCAGTATTCTCATAATCTTTAACAATGACATTATCGGAGCAAACCTGTTTCTCCGTTGAAATCCGAATTCATTCAATATTAATTATATAGTTGTATTATTAATGTTCCAAATGATCGGTACTTGGATTATTTACATTATTAGGAATGTTATCCTCATCTTCATTGGAGATTTGAATTAAAGGGAAATAACTGAGACATCTGGAAGAGGCATGGCACGCGAAAGTAGAACAATCTACCCCAGTGGACGAAATAAGGGTTTTGGTTCTAAATTCCAATCATCTGAAGAAGGCTGAAGCGTACAACGGCCGAAACGTTGTGAATATGACAATGAACATGAGGTTAACAGTCCAAATAATGTAAATAATATTATATACAACCGCTATCTCAGATCAATTATTAAAAAGGCTTCGAGCAATTGAATAGAGGCTCATCAAGACTTCTGGACTGGCGCTACAGAATCATAAAACACTCATACAAATGACGAAAACCACATCACTTAAATACTTTCATGAGTAGCAAAAACTAAAATGGATATCATGTTTAACTTGAAGATTAGATAATGGCATAATTACGAGGCTAACATTTCACACTACTTCAAAATTCGAAGAAGGCTTCCATCAATGCTGGAAGGTTATTGTACTTGAGAAAAACGGTTTTGAAAGGAATTTCAAATGACTGCAGCAATTAATGTTAAATGTTTCCAAGCAGCTAATATCACCAGACCTGTCAGACCTTCTCCAGCGATAACCACCAGTCAAACAATATTCGCCGGAGAAAAGAAGAAACTTATTGATATTTCTTCCTTAAAGAAAAGCAACTGGTGTGCCAAATCAGGTCATGCATATATGGTAGATGTAAGAAATTGATTGTATAGAAATTTCACCAAAGTTAAGCAACGTCGACCTGGTCAATACCGAGATGAGTTGCCGCTTGGGAATACGGGGT